TTCGGGTTTCGGGTTTAGGGCCTAGTGTTTAGGGGTTTAGGGTTTAGGGTTTCAAAGTTCGGGTTTCGGGTTTAGGGCCTAGGGTTTAGGGGTTTGGGGTTTTGGGGTTTTGGGGTTTTGGGTTTTGGGGTTTAGGGTTTTGGGCTTCGGGTTTAGGGTTTTGCGATTTTGGGGTTTAGGGTTTAGGGTTTAAGGTGTTTAGGTGTTTAGTGGGTTCTAGATGGTTCTAGTATGGCTTGATGACGTATCTGCAAGGTTTTCATGGGCTGTTTTTTCGGGGTTCCCATCAGGCTTACTACTTCTGCTGGAACAGGCTCCGTCTAAAAACCGCAAGCTCGGAACCCCAAATGCGCCTTGGCAGTTGGCTTTGTAGAACCTTGTAGGAGCTCCTATAGGCAACCGTCGTGCTGAAGGCCTAAACCCTAAACTCTTAACCCTAAGCCCTAAGCTTGACACAAAACCCTAAACTCAACCCTAAACCCGAAAACGTAAGCCCTAAACCCTAAACCCTAGAAGCCCTGTGACGTTGCTGTGATGTCTGTTGCGCAGGAAATCCCAGGCGAACCGGAAGGTTGGTCTGGGCAATGTACCATTATCATTTAGGGTTTAGGGCTTAGGGTTTAGGGCTTTACGGGTCTTGAGTTTAGGGTTATGTTCTTCTTTCTATCATTCGTAATTGATAAATGGTTTTGTTCTTAGTTATTCGTATTAATACAACGGTTATCATGTATTCTTTGTGTTCTCATGTTTTTTCTTTTTTTACTGTCATAGTTGATTATTCATATTCGTAGTAACGAATGAGTATCATGCATTATTCTTGTTCTTGTTGTTTTATCAGTTAGTGTTATATATTGTTGTTCTTGTTCGGACTATTATCATGGTTATCATTCTTACAGTGCGAGTACCATGATTGCTGTTACTAGTTTTTTACCACTAGGCCCCTGGGTTTCAGGTTCAGGGGTTCAGGGTTTAGGGCTTTAGCGTCGAGGGTTTGAAGGTTTAGGGTTTAGGGCATTATAATTCTTGTGATTGTCTGTGATTTCATAGTAGTTCTTGCTATGATCATTATGGCTATTTGTAACGTCATTCTCGTTATTGTTATTTGTGTAACTAGTTTTTCTTTTGGTTATTCCTTTTATTGCCAGTACTGTTACTAGCAAATACAGAACTATTATTATTGTGGGCTGGTCTAGTCTAGTATTGTCATCCTTGTTGCCGCAAGTGTTGCGTGGTATGACACAACTACCGCTATCATTACTAACATGAACGGTCGTATTCTTATCACATTATTGTGTGAAGAAGTTTCTGATTGGATACTGCCCCCACCTGTAACCTTTGAGTAGTATTCATCATGTAGACAATCAAGGCCCTAAACCCTCAACCCCTAAACCCCTGAACCCTAAACTCTTAAACCCCTAAACACCTAAGCCCTAAACCCCTAAACCCCTAAACCCCTAAACCCTAAACCCTAAAGCCTAAACCTGGCCCCCAAATAGGAGCTGTCTGGCCACGGGACCCTGCAAGCCTTCAACCCCACAAAGCTAAAGCCTCAGGCCCTAAGCTCTACAGCTCTTAACCTGAAGTCCCCAAACCCTCAACCCCTAGCCCTACGCCTTAAACCCCCCAAGCCCTAAACTCTAAACCCCCAAACGTAATATGCCCAAACCCTAAACCCTAAACCCATGAACATTACACTCTAAGCCAACCCTAAACCCTAAACCCTAAGCCCTAAACACCACAAACTCCCTATAGCGTGGTTGGTCCGAAGGCGTGGGAGGAGTGGTCCGAGGAAGTGAATGCCCTAGCTCTTGGAGACGAAATTTAATCTGAGCTTCTTTCGTTTCGGGCTTCGGGGGCGTAAGGGTTTAGGGCTTAGGGTTTAGGGTTTTGAGGTGAGTTTGGGGTTAGGGTGGATTCAAAATTTAGGGTCTAGGTTGTGTTTTGGGGTTAGGGTTCAGGGTTTGCGGTTTAACGTGGGTTTAGGGTGGGTTCCCTTGGCTGCCCTCGGGCGGCTGTTCCAACATCGATCGCCCCAAAGTTGGGTGAGCATCTAGGTCTAGTCTTATGGACCGAAGAAGCACCTAAACATCACACAAAGCTAGACCCCTCGCCATTGAGATAGTACCCTCGACAGATGTTTTTTCATGTAGGTGCTTCTTGGGCTCCTACTGTTACAAGTTTAATCCCAACATCACTAGACTCTCGTCTGCGCGGTATGCGCCCAAAATCTGGCAAAGCAGCAAAGAAATATTAATAGTACTAGTAATAGTAACAATAATAACATTATTTCATAATTGCAACCGTATTAATATTGCAGGCTTTCCAGTCACCTGACTTCCTGTTCTGGAACTGACTTGAATCACCATGGTGGGGGTGTGGTTCCTTGTTATGGAAGCTTAACTCAGTTCCTTCAGAACCACCCAACTCTAAACCCTAAACCCTAAAACCTTAAACCCTAAACCCTTAGACCCTAAACCCTAAAACCCTAAACCCTAAAACCCGAAACCCTAAACCCTTAGACCCTAAACCCTAAGCCCTATGCCGCAGCCACACGCCGGGCTCTAGTGAAGCTTCCTACGAAAGCCTCCCAGCCGCCAAAATGGCGACTGTTGGAGAGGCGACTTGGCTTGACAAGGTTTCAGGGTTTGGGGTTTAAGGGTTTTAGGGTTTAGGGTTTGGGGCTTAGGGTTTAGGGTTTAGGGTTTAGGTTTTAGGGGTTGGGGTTTAAGGGCTTTAGGGTTTAGGCTTCAGGGGCTGCGCTAGAGCTTGGTCCATTGGTTTAGGGGTGTCGCTCACTCCTAGCATGCTTCCTGGTTGCACAACCGCCAAACCCCAAACCCAAAACCCCAAAGCCTTGAATCCGAAACCCTAAACCCTAAACCCGAAAACCCTTCAAGCCCTAAAGCCCCTAAGAGGCCCCCCCAAACCCGATTACCGGCGACAGACGTCTCCTAGAGACGGCTGTGATGACCAAGGTCTTTCAAACGAGCAGCATCGTGAGCGTCGTGCTCTTCCTGAAGTATCTAGGTGTTCAACAGACTTGTGCTGTGGTTGGTCTCTAGTTTCCTATTGCAACACCCCAATAAAATTGAACGATGCTTTCTTCCCAGTCTAGGTACTTCATCACGAACCTCCGCTGGGGGCTCTTGAAGGGGAAGGCCAACATGCGAGCAAAGGAGGACTTAACCCAAGGTCCACAGCGGCCTCGAAAGAAAGTGTTTAGGGTTTAGGGTTTCGGGCTCAGGATTTAGGGTTTAGAGTTTAGGGTTTAGGGTATAGGGTCTCGGGATCAGGATTTAGGGTTTAGAGTTTAGGGTGGGGAACTTGGTTTAAGGGTTGTTTTCAAAAGCAGATCACAGGCTTTCATACCCTCCTGGGTTGCAAGGAACCGGGTTTAATCCAGCCATAGACCCTAAACCCCTAAAGCGGTGTATGGAGCTGTGGAACTTCCTGTGTGGGACTCCGTGCTACTGCCCCTAAACGAAAGCCCTAACCCCGACACAACCTTAAGCTCTAAAGCCCTATAGGGTTTAGGGTTTAGGGTTTAGGGTTTAGGTATAAACCTTACAACCTACCAGCATTTGCAGGATTTCAACAACAACCCGGACGCAACGCAGGAGGATGTCGACAGGGCAACAGCTGCAGGCTAGACAATGAGTTGCAGGGTTTGGGGTCTGTCTTTTCCTACAGGTTTCCTTTCTGGGATCTATACGGGATCTATAAGGGTTCTTTTAAGGCTTTTGGGTTTAATGGTTTAGGGTTTAGGGTAAGTGAATGG